ACCTAGGGAAACAGCTTGAGGCTCTGTCTCAAAAAAAAAAAAAAAAAAAAATAGAGAATTAAATGATTCAACACAGGAAAGTGCTTAAAATTAATAAATGAGGAGAGCTATTATTAAACTAGGAACAAGAGAAATGTAAAAGAAAAGCCCATGGCTCCTTCACCCAGCATACCCACCCCTATATTTCTATACATGTACAAGGCATTCAAATTACACGTCCCCCAAATCTAGAACCACCACCCCCCCCCAGTAACTGGGAATAGTTATCTAAAACCCATTTTTTTGAGTACCTACTTCTGTCAACTCCCAGTTGAGTACACCCTTTATGTCCATTATCTGGTCTTAGCTCTCCCAATAACCCTGACAGATGGGTTGAAATGTGTCCATTTTGTACAAGAGACATCTAAGTTTGGAGAAGGGAAGTCACTTTCCTTGTCATACAGCTGGGTTTCCAACCTAAGCTCTAAAGAGCCATAGTTTGTTACTTTACAGAGCTTTCTAAATATCCTATCAGTTGCCAACATTTAAACTTCTGGCTTTGCACTTTTATAGAAGTTTGAATTCCAGAGTTCTCTAGGGAAAAAGAAATATGCTATGACACCATGAGACCCATTCCCACTGGCAACTACTCACAGCCTGACTGTCTCTGTCAGAAACTCCTAGGCTGCCTCAGTCCTTACTCTGCCCTCTTCATACCAAATTTTTGCTCTAAAACTTTTGCTCCAAAAAAATTAACAATGGCTGAGAACCAGAGTCTGAGCTCTTAATTTTTGGTCCCTGCAGTGACAATGACCTGTTGATCTCCTGTGCTGGAAAGTGAGCACCCTCACAGTAGGGGATTTGCATGGTTTTTCCCAGGACCAGTCAGGGAGGAGATAAGGTTCAGTCAAGGGACTCTGACTCAGAGGGAAGGGTGGCTCTCAAGGGGCTTCACCTTGAAGGCAGAGCGTAAGTGGTCGTAGTAGACTTCCTCAATGGCCTGGAAGTAGATGACACCTTTGAGCTTGGTCTCGTCCTTGTCTGGCAGAGCAAGTAAGGGAGAAACACAGCCAGTGAGAAGTGTGTGTCTGTATGTGTTGGAGGGTGGGAATTGGGCACAAGTCCTAAGACTGGGTTTGGAGTGAGGAACGTGGTGACAGCATCTGAAAGTCCCTAAAATACCACGGTTAGGAAGTGAGTGAATGAGAAACTGGACAAGATTGGAGAATGGAGTCTGGGGAGCCAGAACCCTGTGTCCCTGAATGCCTTAGCTCTCAAGGACAGCTTCAGAATAAATGATCCCCCTAGGGGGAAGGGCAAGAGTGGATTCCTGGGTACTGTTGGGGCAGGGCCAGCACTGACAATGAAGGTTCAGACTACTGGGTACTTAGGAAAAAGGGGCCTAGAGCTGGAGGTTTGCATTCTGGGAGGCTTAAAGGGGAAGAAGGGGCTGTAGATTTGCATTCATGGGTTATGGGTAAGATGGGAGCTAGAGACCCACATTCCACATCCTGGGGGAAGTAGAAAGTGGGTTACCAGACATCTGAGACTTGAGCAAGGATGGGCCAGAGAATCCAGATTCATGGGCCTAAGAGAACAGGGGGCTGGGGGTCAAGACTCCTGCTGCCTGCAGGGGAACGGCCTCCAGAATGGACTTCCAGCGTCCAGGGGCCCAGAGTGGGTGGCCAGACTAGTCTTACCTGCATAGTAGGCCAAGCGGCGGGCTTGGCGGTCAAAGCAGAACCATCGCTTCCTCCACGTTTTGATGCGGCCACCCATCTTCACCAGGGGTCCACGGCAACAAACCCCTGTCACCCGCACATGTGGGCAGTTCTCTGGGTTGTGGCCCCATCTTTCCAGGTGCTGCCGGAGATCTAAGACTCGGGGGCCTGGAGGGTGGGGTGTGGGTGGTGCCTGGGGAGGAAGAAAAGGGGCAACTGAGCCTGAGCTTGGGGGGAGTCTACATCCTAGAGGTGGCCCCCAGGGGAGCCAGTCAGAGCAGCTCACATGTGACACCTGCCACAGCCTTTCAGTATAATGATGATCCTGACAGGACATTACTATGACACTCCGCATAAGGCTTTATGAACATCAACTTCTTGTTGCCTCACCACCATTCATGGGACAGGGCTACAAATGAGCAAAATGAGGTACAGAGAGATGAAATAACACACCAGAGGTCACACAGAGCTGCTAGGTGGCAGAGGTGGATGCAAACCCAAGTTATCTTAACCCTAGAGCTCACCCTGAAACACAAGAGGCATATCAGAGAAATGAAAGGCCTCTGGGACAGGGTCCCCAAAGTGGAGTCCTCAATGTTGTGTCCTCAGTAAAACAGGAACCAAATCACAAGTGATCAGTAAAGGAAAGAATTGTTCACATTATGATTATTATTATTATTAGTGTGATGAAATCAGTGATTATAATCCTGTGCTAACCACTTTCTAGTATAATCTCTCTGCCCCCTCATGCTCTCCTGGGGGTTAAGTACATTTATCTCTGTTTTGCAGATGTGGACACCAAGACTCAGAGAGGTTAAGTTACTCTGCCAAAGTCACACAGCAAGAGCCGACTGAGCCAGGGCTCACCAGGCAGAGAAGTCATAAAGGTTAGGGGGCAAGAATGAAGGTAATACAAGTGTCTTTTCTTCCCAAATAATCCTGCAAAGAAAGGCATGATTCCTGAGGTCAAACTGAGTCTTGGGGGGCAGTACATCTCAAACTTCTTTATGTTAGTAGATCCCCTGGGGGTGGGAGGAATGAAATGACCAAAGTAGACTTTGGTCATTTCAGTGTGGGGTCTTAGATGTGGGATCTGATGTTGCTGGTTCCCTGCTGAAGGGCTTAGAGAACTGAAGCAAGGCCATAGAGCAAGCAGGGATGAGAAACAGAGATGACTGTCACAGGCTGGAGGCAGGAGAGATGGAGGAGAAATGGGGAGGGGAGATCCAGTTTAAAGTGAACTTGGCGGCGCTGTGGCTCAAAGGAGTAAGGCGCAGGCCCCACATGCCGGAGGTAGAGGGTTCAAACCCAGCCCCGGCCAAAAAACAAACATAAAAAGACTTCAGCAGTTTAAAGTGAACCCATGGAGACCTGGACTCCCAGCAAATCCACACAGGAATACTAAAGACCACCTCCATGTGTGGAAACTGCCACTCTGTCAGATTCTGTTCCAAGTGATCACAATGATTCTCTTGTTTATTCTCCAAAATAACCCATTAATGTCCCCACTTCACAGATGAGGAAATAGAGGCTTCTAGAGTGAAAGTGGACTCACCACGGTCACCTAACTAGGATGTGGCCAGGGGGAAAGCAAGGATGGACCCAGGACTGTCTATTGCTGCCCAGATGGCCATGCCACCTCCACAGAACCCCTACCCCTCCAGAGCCTTGGTTCCCTGTGCTGACACATGGGGGTTACCAGAACACTCTCCTCCCAGGGCTATTTCAAGGACAAACGAGCTGGAGTTGCTGGGGGGGTTCTCCACCCCAGCAATTCCATGCTAGGAGTGAATCCCAGAGACACACTTGCCTGTGTGCACAAAAGACAGCAGGGGGTGGAGAGGAAGAGGACACAGCACACAACAGGGTAGTTTAATAAATAATGATGCTCCAAGCAGGGAGCAACAAAGCCGGAGTCCCGCACTGATAATGAGCCAGAGCTTATGCCAAACACCTGAAAGGCTCTCCTGCCCACCCTGCTTCCTTTTGCTCCCTGGCTCTTATCAGCAGCTGACATGATGTTTACATTACTTATTGATGATCCATTTTTATTTTCCCTCCTGGCCTCAAGCAATCCTGCTGCTTCAGCCTCCCAAAGTGCTGGGATTATAGGTGTGAGCCATGCACGTGGCCTGATGGTGCTTCTTGTCTATCTGCCTGCTAACCATCAGCTTCCCTGAGGGCAGGAATTTTTATTTTGGTCACCACTGGAACTCAGAGCCTAGCACACAGTAGGCACTCAGTAAACATCAGCTGAAATGAACACTGGAAAGACAGATGGTTGAATAAACAAAAAGTAGGTTGGAAGTGATTTGGTTATTTGTGGGACAAATATATTCCCAAACATGCTTTGATGAGCGCATGTGGAAAAGTATAAACATAGATCCAAGGGCTTCTCAATACCCGAGTGAGATCGGGGAGGAAGAAAGTGACCTTCACCTTCTTGAAACTGTGTATGTCATTCTTTGTAACAAATGTACCATAGGTAAAAATGTACCATAGGAGAGTGGCACCTGTGGCTCAAGGAGTAGGGTGCTGGCCCCATATGCTGGGGGTGGCGGGTTCAAGCCCGGTCCCAGCCAAAACTGAAAAAAAAAAAAAAAGTACCATAGGTAAAAAGTAAAATTTTAACAAGAAAGCTGTCAGTTAAATTCAGAACGTGAAAAAAATCTACAAGATAAGCGACTTGACTTTTCTTCCACAAATAAATGGCATTTTTTCAGAAATGGGGAGGGAGAATTGTTAGAGATTTAAAGAGATTTAAGACACATTTTAACCAAATACACAGTGTGCGCGTTTGTGTCTAGCTTCAAAGAAACTAACTACAAAAAGGTATTTCAGAGACAATTAGGGAAATGTGAATATGGATTGTATATTACAATATTATGGAGCTTATAATCTTATTAGGTGTGACAATGGAATTTTTTATGTTAAAAAAAAAAAAACCCTATCTATTGGAGATATATGGTGACATGTGAATGAAAGGGTACAATATTTTCCTTTAAAATATTCCAGCACAGAGTGGGATGTAGGTGTGGGATTGGTAAAATAAAGTTGGAGGGCAAAACAAGATTCACTATTGACAATTATTGAAGCTGCATGATGGGCACATGGCACATGGGGGTTTATCAATCTAGTCTCTACATTTGCATATATTTGAATATTTCTATAATAAAAATTTTACAAAAGAAATGAATATAAACAATATACATTTTAAAATGATTTTTAAAATCCCAGTGTATACTTGCCCTCATTATGTACTAAATGCTGACATTATCATCAATGTACAGAAAGGGAAACTGAGGCACAGAAGTGAAACAGATTACCCGAGGACATGTTTAGACACAGATGAATATTACAATGTCATGAGAAGAGGAACTGGGTCTTTTTAGTTCCCTTCCCTTGCCAGGCCCAGAACAATTTTCTGCTGCATTAGAAGAGAGGAAAGGGTGACATATAAGAAAGGGCACAGGCCAAAAGAACAGAGCAGGCTGAGGTGGGATGAGGGCAGGGGTGGGACTGACCATGATGGCAGGAACAGTGGAGCCTGAGGAAGCTTCTGTATTCCTTCTTGTCCCTTCCTGTGGATTCAGGATGAAGGACTCAATGAAGATGCTACCCCAGAAGGTGTGGGGAAAAGGTACTAGGTTCTTGGGTATGAGGGAGCAGAAGCTGAGACCTGGACCTCTAGGTCTGAAGGAGGAGGGAGCTGGGAGACTGGACCCCTGGCTCTGAGATAGGAGGGGCTGGGGGCCATACTCCTGGGTTGGAGGTAGGAGGGGCTGGGGGCCACACTGCTGGGTCTCAAGTAAGAGGGGCTGAGGGCCGCACTAGTGGGTCTGAAGGAGGAGGGAGCTGGGGGACTGGACTCTGGGTCTGAGGGAACAGGGAGCTGGGGGATTGACCCCTGAGTCTCAGGGAGGAGGGGCTGGGGAATGGGCCCCTGGGTCTGAGGGAGGAGGGGCTGAGGTAGAATCTTCTGATCCTAAGCAGGATGGTCTGGGGCCTCTCACCCTGGCCTTGAGCAGCCGCTCCCTCTCTGCCACAGCCTGCTTCAGGAGCCTTTCCATGTGGGCAATGTCTGGGTGGGGGGCCCCACAGCTAGGAGGGCAGAACAGAGATGGGGCAGGTTATAGTGCCTAGGCCTCTTCCCCCCATATCCTCATCTGCTTCCCTGACATCTCACCTATTCCCAGAGCCACAGTTCAGCAGCTGATAGAGGGGGTGTCTGCTGGAGTCCCCCACTGGTGGTGAGAGAGTTGAGGCCTCCAGAGGTCCTAGGGGAGACAGGACCAGGTTTAGTAGTTAATGGGCTGGGATAGTGCCTGACCCAATCCCTATCCCTTCCCCTTCTCCCCCTGCAGGAATGCACGGCCAGTTTCCTCCATCCTTTGCTGTAGGGTAGGTGCTGATGGAGGCAGGGTCCTTACCAGTATAATGGAGTGACAGAGGTCGGGGGGATCCTCTCTGGCTCGCCCTCTCTCCCCTTTTCCGGGGCAGGCTGCCAGTCCTCTGGAGGCCAATGGAGCCCTGAAAACACACAAAACCCATACACAAAGGCAAAATGTTTGATCTCAGTCATAAGTCCAAGAACTGCCCAATAAAACCACTACCTCAGGGAGGTGCCTGTGGCTCAAAGGAGTAGGGTGATGGCCGCATATACCGGAGGTGGCGGGTTCAAACCCATCCTCTCCCCAAAGAAAAAAACAGTACCTCAGTGGCACAGATCAAAAAGCTACTGTCAACATGATGCTGAGTGAATGAGTTCACTGCAGCCTCGAACTCCAGGACTCAAGTGATCCTCCTGCCTCAGCTTCCTGAGGAGTTGGGACTACAGGCTCCCACCACCACACCTGGCTAATTTTTTTTTTAAATAGAGATAAGTCCTCATTATATTGCCCAGGCTGGTCTCCAACTCCTTGCCTCAAGCAATTTTCCCACTTTGGCCACCCAAAGCACTGAGATTAGAGGTGTAAGTCACTGTGCCCAGTCCAAAAAATGAAATTATGTTGAACAATGAGAAATTGCCAGTATTTGACCATTTCTTGCTTCCAAATAATAGCAATTATATAGCAAAAATATCATACCATATGTGAGAAAATGGCTTAGGATTAATAAATAATATATATTTTTGAAATAACATTAAGTACTAACTAGTAAATATAAAATAATAGTCTTTTTTTTTTTTTGAGAAAGAGTCTCACTTTTGTCGCCCCTTGTAGAGTGCATGGCATCATAGCTCACAGCAACCTCAGACTCTTGGCTCAAGTGATTCTCTTGCCTCAGTCTCCTGACTAAGCTGGGACTACAGGCACCCACCATAATGCCTGGCTATTTTTTTTTTTTT